CATAAATAATGATTGACGACATAATTCGATCGAAAAATTAACTGGAATGTTTTATATTTGGACACAAATACCTTCTGAAAGCGGACCCTCTTATGACGCAGAAACCTCATCTCGCCATAGTTAAAAGAAAATACCAAACGCCCGATGAAGACTGAGGCAACTGATATATTAATAATATCAGAAATTATACACTCTAATAATCCTTTCAACTGTGATCTAGCGCTAATTCACTCTGTCAGAAATCATGTATCATCATTGAATCATTCATCTCTGTCTGGAATAGTCTTGTTTCAGTAGTAGGGTTTTGACGTCACATCATCGCCTCGTTTTCAGAGGTCCGAAAAATCGGGGATTTCAATAATTTTTTATAAAACGTAGGGAGCTCACAGCAAGGGACGGTTTGCGGTGGTGAGCTAGTTTGGGTGAGTTCTATCTTGGAATTATGAAATAATTTTTTTTTGTGATATAAGCCCATTGGAGGAGGACATTTTGAGAATCTTCGATGACGAATCTTTTTCGAAAATTATAATTGTTTTGTAGTTTTTTTCCGGAACCAAGTCCAGTCCTGAATTATTTTATTGAATGAAACTTCTTCTCAACTTTGCTGCTATGTCAATATGCAAAAAATTGATTTGAATACTTTTAGTCCAATGTAGAGAGTAACATGCCCATACAAAATCATGGAAACGTTCATCAGTATTTTGTTCGAAATTTTCTCAACAATTTGGTCGAAGTGTGCCGTACAAAATGAAAAGCTATCCTTGCAGTGTTTTTCCTGACCTCTCTGATTCTGATGGAAGTTTTTGAAAAATGCGAATCAAAAAGCGAAAATTATGACATTTAAATAGTAAATGAGTTTTACACAAGTCCGACTCTGGAATTTTCCTTCCATAGTAGGCCATCTTGTGGAGTGTTAGTAGAGGTGAGTTGCAGGTCAATTTCAGGCGATAACATCGAGAAGTTCCTGAAATATCGTTCATCGAAATTTCACCCCGAATCCAAGTAATGCCTTGTATCTGTTAAGAATAGGCAAAATATGTTTTTTCACATATATATATCAACTCACCTAGACTTCCTCTACCTGCCGTTAACTCACCCTGTATATATCTATAATGTTATTCACCGTTGATTTTGTTTTCGTGTAAATTACGAACATGGCTTATCATTTATTATCGAATACTTCCACACTTTAGTTATCCACCTATTGCAGTGGTATTATTTTGTACATTTCGATTAGGTAGTCATCATGGTTATACATAATAAGTGTAGTTAGGAAATTCCCCTATTTTAGCTATAAGTGCACGACCTTCATTTACAAGGTATAGTAATGGGCAAAACAGATGAAAATTTCAAGATACCTGTCATAAAAGCAATATTTCTGAAAAACTCTGTACAGGATAGAAACCTAACCATGGCTCTAAAATACTGTTTCAATTTCAGGATCAAATAATACCCTTAAAGAAATTGAAAAATAATATAGCATTCAACCTGTCGAGAAAAATGTACAGTTCTGTTCATAAACAAGTTGTACAAGGTTTGTATGGTGTAAACCTGCCTATGATGTTCCAGATTTCATTAAAATGTAGTACACGTACAGGGTGCGCCTCTTAAAATGGAACCCCTCCTTAACTGTATTGTTTTCAGAGATATGAAAAAATGTTGAATGAAAAAGTTATTCAAAACGACTCAAACTTTTATTTCGTGAAGTTGTTTCATATACAGGGTCATTCGTTTTTCCAGAAAGGACATCAACTTTTATTTTTTCAACACAACAAAAAATTTATATGAGTTGCATAGTTGGATGAAAAATAGTTGAGTCATTGATGATCAAAGTTTACCAAAATACTGCTTTATGAACGTTCACTTCATATCATCTAATGTACGTTGAACATAGAACATATACTGTTCATGCTCCATGGAAATGTCATACTGTTTATTATGACATATTGAAATCGTTTAATCTCAATACAAAATGATATGAATAGACATTTTGATGGAAGATGCAGTATTTTGGTAATTTTTGAACATCAATTTAATAACTCAATTATTTTTCATTCAAATATGCAACTCATATATATTTTGGAAATCAGGAAAAAAGAGTTGTTTAGTTGTGTGCACGTGTATCTGACAAATCTTGTTTCTCGTGAAAAATAGTGTATTCAAAATATCGCTCTGCTATGATATTTTGAATAATCTATTCTGCACAAAATACAGGATGTGTAGAATTATTAAATAAATTAATTAAATCCACCAAATGTACCACCATACATCTGGTAAATGTGGCCATATCAGTCAACAATATATATATATATATTTTGTACTATTCGTCATTGTCAATATTGTTAACGAATTTTGTCTAAGAATGAAATTCGATAGAAAAAAAATTAGATGTAATTCACAAGTTTTAGAACGAATATGATTATTTATGTTGAAAACGGTTTATTTCTCGGAAAAAAATGAGAAGCATAAAAAAGCCTCCAAATTGAACGATCGATCCTCTTTGGGAACTGGTAGATGCCAGAGGCGTATTACAAAAAAGTTTGGGGGGGGATAAAGAAGCCACTACCCTTAAAAACGTATTACCCTGTAGATTTCAAAAACCTATAAAATACTTAAGATTATGATTTTCTAGAAAGTATTAACTGCACAAGATTCCAAATTGATGTCTCCAAAAGTGAGCGAGATATTTCAAAAAAAAAATAATTGAAATATGACCCTCTGTAGCTCCACTATACTGATCGAGATCGGACTATTTTATATGAATTTTTTTAATTAAAATGATGAGATCTATCACCCATTTCAATTTGTACCTCGATACCTGAATCACCCTGTATAATGAACAAAAACAAAAAAAGGAATTGAGTTAGGGTATGAGTATTTATATGTATTATTATACAGGGTGATGCAAAATTCGATGTAAATATTTTAAGGATCAAAATAAGACTTTTTCTTCGTAAAAACATGTGTCCTAAAATTCTCCCATTCCAAGCTACATCAATTGTTAGTTAAGAAAAGAAAAAATATATTCTGAAATTGTGACTGAAATAACCAATCAAATCTTCTGAAAATTGGAGTTCTGGTGGGGTTAGAGGAGGGTTCTTACTTTTATTGCATTTCAGGACACATCTTTATATGAAGAAAAAGTCTTATTTTGATCCCAACAATACGTCCTTAAAATATTTACATCGAATTTTGAATCACCCTATACAGGGTGTCCAGAAATTATGCGCAAAAAATCAAGGGGGTGATTCTGCATGAGAAAACATGAAATTTATTTCATATAGTCTTGGGCCCGGAAATGCAAAGTTTTCAAGATACAGTGTGTTAAACTTTTTAGAAAAAATCGTTTTTTTATGAATGAGAAATATAGTCGACGGAAAAATGTTGTAACCAACTTGTATATTACATCAATGCGCTCGCTTCACTCGCACGTTAAAATATCTTAAATAGTTGGTTAAATAACTATTTCCGTCGACCTCGTATTAACGACTAAGTTTAATGTATATGAAATCGTTCATTAATGACCCCTATTAATGAACGATTTGTCTATTAATGTACGATTGTTTTATAGGCAACCAAACATACACCGCGTGCATTCATTGTTCATGCTATAACTTACGGAATCTGCATTTAAATCGAAAATATGGATTTCATTGAAGATTTTCCGTTAACGGGTTCACCTTTCCAAGTTTCTGACACGATTTTAATCCCTGTTTTCTAACACAAGGAATTCATTTTCTATGTTGATCATTTCGACAAATGTCAAATCTCACTAATGTCAGTGACAAGGCTACTGGGTGATTCTTAGCAGTTTCCAGATGAATGATGAATTCGCGAACCAAGTTTTCTTCATTGCAGGAGAAATGAGAAATATAGTCGACGGAAAAATTTTGTAACCAACTTGTTTATTAAAAGGCGATTAATGATCTCGAACATTAACGCGCTCGCTTCGCTCACACGTTAAAATATCTCGATCATTAATCGCCCTCATTAATAAACTAGTTGGTTAAATAACTATTAACCAACTAGTATATTAATGAGGGCGATTAATGATCGAGAAAATTTAACGTGCGAGCGAAGCGAGCGCGTTGATGTAATGTTCGAGATCATTAATCGCCTTTTAATATAGGAGTTGGTTACAAAAATTTTCCGTCGACAATATTTCTCATTTCTCCTGCAATGAAGAAAACTTGGTTCGCGAATTCATCATTCCGATTAGAGTGCAGATTCCGTAAGTTATAGCATGAACAATGAATGCACGCGGTGTATGTTTGGTTGCCTATAAAACAATCGTGCATTAATAGACAAATTGATCATTAATAGGGGTCATTAATGAACGATTTCATAAACATTAAACTTACTCGTTAATACGAGGTCGACGGAAAAATCAAATGAAGAACTGTTTGCTGAAGAAAATATTACCACCTTTGGGAATGCTTTCGATCGAAAGTGATTTGACGAACAGTTTGAGAATTATGATGGTGCAATGAAATGATTCGCATACGGTAATTTTATTTTATGTCGTTCTATTCTTTTATTTGTTTTTTTTTGTTTTTTTTTGTTTTCTATATCCTATAGATTGAAGATACTATATTTTTATCAATGAATGTCTTTTTTTTGCTTTTTATGTCCTTTATATTTTCATCATCAAATGTTTAGTTTTGTTTTCATTTGTATTTGGGAAGAAACTATTACATGGTATTATTGATTAAAAAAACAGAACAAAAACAGAAGGAATGAGGTTAGGGGCCCCAAGAATTAGAAAGCTTAGGGCCCCAGAAATCGTAGATCCGCCAGTGTGCGCAACATATTAAAACGAAATTTGCAGCCGGCTCTCCTACTATTAGCTTTCTGTATGATCTAAGGTATTTTCATTGATTTTCTTAGATCAATGATCTAGGGCACGTGACGTGCTGACATGTGACAATTGGTTGACATTTGACATTGGTGACATTTGACATTGGTGACATTGTCATATTGACAAGTGACTTCAGACTGTTACTGACACATTTTTTGATTGTACCAAATATCAAAATCGAATCTGTTATCGTTGTTCTTGAATCTATTTCTTTCAATTATTGTTGTATTTGTTCGCACAGGATACTCGAAATATTCGATATTTCAATTCCACTCCAGTTGAGTCATTTTTATGAGATATTCGGTCGTCTCCTAATGCAGAAGTATATGTTGAGTGCTTTCCAGTCAAGTGCAGATACAAACATGTTGATATCAAAAATTACTCCAACATAAATGAGTTTAAAACAGTGGATATCAAACAAAAGTATTATGTAGTTATTACAAATAATATATTCAATAAAAAACTCCTTCAATCAATAACGTAATGGGTATTTGCTGGTGTAAAAATAAGGATGAAGAAAATGATACTTACGTCCCACACATGTCAAACAACCACCTCATTCATAATGTTGTAAGACCTGTTTCACCTGTAAGTTCACAATATTCCTTCAAACTCCCTAAAACACCTGATGCTGGTGATGTGGATAGGCTAGTCCTGGAAACTTTGGGAGTCATTGCTACTCTTGTTGATAAGTAAGTCAACAAATAATAAATGATTAAATGATGAGTAATCTTTCACTGAATCATAGGATCTTATATTGATTGATTTGCTTTCTTTCTAGTGAACAGGAACCTCCTAGTTCAATGCTATTGTTACACAACATTGCAGACAATGAAGAAGGCTGGATACAAGTAGTGAATTCCATGATAAATATAATTCCTCTCATGGATCCTCTTGGTCCATCAGTTATTACTCTCTTATTGGATGATTGTCCTCTGCCATCCAAAGAATCTGTTTTTAAGGTAGACATATTTATAATTATAGAGATGGAAATACATTAGTTCATTTTCAGGTGATCAATATGTTGAATCTTTCCAAAGAGGCAGCCTTGGCAGGAAGACCTAATCCTCCTAGACAGAGGAATATTTGTGTTGTACTAGGTTGTATTGCTGAAAAATTAGCTGGTCCAAGAAACATGGAAATATTGAATAATGGTATTATAGACTACTTATTAACAAACTTGGTAATATTGGAAACCCAATGTAGTCCTCAATACTTGATGTGGTATTTTACAGGAGCTTGATACTGATCCCAGTATAATGCTATTTTCATTGATAGCTTTGGAAAAATTTGCTCAAACTAGTAGTAACAAAATAACAATAATGAATAAGCTGAAGAGTCTAGACAAGTGTCCTATATTGGAGCTAGAGAACTGGAAGACAGAAAATCATTATGTGAGGAGGCAAGTTGGATTTTGTGCTCAGTGGATACTGGATAATTTATGTGAGTATTAATCTCCCTATTAATGAACAAAGATGATTTCAATGGGGTTCATCAAATTGTACAGTGTTAGAGAATATGTGCTAAAAACTTCAGGGTAATTCCTTGTGATTGTTTAGGAAATAAAGTTCATAAAATCATGGATCAGGATATTGAAGTTGGAAGTATTCATTGCTTTTATTCATATCCCCCCTGTAAAAGTTTTCATGGTGCCAATATTCAGCATGGTTGAAGACTGTCAAAAATTTCAAAATTATTGAGGTTATTAAGTAATCTCAATTAGGCAATCCAATGACCTGCCAAATAATTTCAAAATGTCCTTTGGTTGGCAGACAAACCAAAGACAAGTTTGTTTACTTGAGAACTTTGTGGGTTTTGGAAGCCTTTTAGACTGTTATTACATTGAGTTTTGGTTATATTTATTGTGAATAATGAAAACTCAGTATGATTTCAAAGAAAAAGTGCCAGCAATGTGTATTGTGGTGGATTGTAGAAGCGGGACCATTTGCTGTTTTGTCACATTCCTACTGTAATACTGTGAAAAACTCTGTGCATTACCCACAAATGTTCCTATCATGGAAGTTATTTAGGTATAAAAGTAAAAAGTTACCTTTCCAACTATGAAATGAAAATCATTCATCTTCCTGTCTACTTTCTGGACAAAAGTTGCTGAAAAATACTTGTGAACAACAAGGGTTTTGTAGGCTTTCATTTGCTCATGAGGGTAGAAACTGTGGGTCACTATAAATAGTAGAAGAGTATAATTATCAGGTAGTCTAATCAGTCAGCAGTTTCAGATTTGAAGGGCTTCAAATCCTTGATCAACATCAGCTTCATCAGAAATCCACGAACAAATCATGGTTGTATGATAGTTTCAGGAATGAAAATTTACTGGTTAGTTGAGAAAAATAGTCGAAAAAACAATAAATATTCATGTTCTAGAATACTGTTCCCACATATGGGGTTCACTCACTCACTCTTTGACATCATTGGAACACCGTAGAAAGGTCGGCGACCTTTCACTTTTCTATCGATACTTCCACGGGAAATGTTCTTCGGAAATCTCTGCTATCATCCCTTCACTAGCAATACCAATCAGACGAACTAGACAAGCCCAGTCAGCACATCCTTTCGTTGTCAACCTCGAAAGATGTCGAACAGCACTTTATCAAGACTCTTTCATCCATAGAACAGCTAGGCTCTGGAATTCAATGCCTGTGGAAGTATTCCCAACAACATATAATCTCCAAAAGTTCAAAAAAAAATCCAATACCTACCTCCTGTCCCTATCCTCCCCAGGAACGCACGATGTTCTTTGAACATTATAGGGATTCCCTTTCGTGCGCTCCAAGCGATAAAAAAATCTAAAACATTTAACCATAATATCTCCAATAATTCACCTACAGTCAGTGTGAATAATCATATAGTGAGAACGAGCACAGTAGCCAAGTACTTAGGAGTTCACTTGGACCCGAAATTGAACTTTAATCACCACTCTGAACTTATGAAAAAAAAAGTTTATCACAAGAGCCAAAAATTTTCGGAACTTAACATATAAGAAGAGAGAAATTAGCAGTGGAACAGCAGCTCACATTTACAAAGCCATATGCCGCCCCATACTCGAATATGCTCACCCAATATACATCAACACCAGAAAGCCACCCATAAAGAACCTAGAAGTAGCAGGAAGATCTAGCCTGAGAGCAATCACGAAAATACGACATCCTCAAAACCCCCCAAATGAACTCCTCTACCAACTCACTAATGTACAACCAATTAGCGAGATGCTGGAAAAACTAGCACAGAAGTTCTCCAACAATGAAAGTAACCTGCAGATCATTCAAACCCAGTGCATCCAAACCAAAGACACCTTACAGAGACCTCAAGTCACAAATTTCCAGTGAACACCTTGGTGGAATGCATCACCAACATTGCGGAAATGCCAAGAAATTAAGATATTGATCAATCTTGAACACTTTCACCGGTGTGAAAATAGAAACGGTCTCCGTATCGGAAACGAAATGATAGTATATGCGCACAGGTGTAAAATGTTATTACATCGATTCTTCCGTTTTAACATTCAGATATCGACTGAAACCATTGCGATCCAAATGTTTTGCGTCAATATGATGATTATAATGATGAATTGGGGTATACACACAAATAGGGTGCTACTACCCCTATATATAGATTAATATCTTCAGAACTAATCAAAACCAAATTAACTCATCGTTTTTGAAAATCTATATTCGATATGATATTCAAAATGAGTGAGAGAAACATACCAACCCTGTTCCAGAATTTGTATCTCAAAACTCACCCTGGAAACCACCCCCGAATAGATGAAAATTACGTAAAATTATGTGAAATAATCGTTTCTGAAAATTCCTTTCTGACAATATCATCAGAACGAACAGAGAAAACATACCTACCCTGTTTCAGAATTTGTATCCCAAAACTCACCCTGAAAACCACCCCCGAATAGATGAAAATTACGTAAAATTATGTGCAATAATCGTTTCTGGAATTTTTTTTCTCACAATATCATCAGAACGAACAGAGATAACATACCTATCCTGTTTCAGAATTTGTATCCCAAAACTCTCCCTGAAAACCACCCCCGAATAGATGAAAATTACGTAAAATTATGTGCAATGATCGTTTCTGAAAATTTTTTTTCACAATATCATCAGAACGAACAGAGAAAACATACCTACCCTGTTTCAGAATTTGTATCTCAAAACTCACCCATGAAACCATCCCCGAATAGATGGAAAATACGTAAAATTATGTGCAATGATCGTTTCTGAAAATTTTTTTCTCACAATATCATCAGAACGAACAGAGACAACATACCTACCCTGTTTCAGAATTTGTATCTCAAAACTCACCCTGGAAACCACCCCCGAATAGATGAAAGTTACGAAAAATTATGTGAAATAATCGTTTCTGAAATTGTTTTTCTCACAATATCATCAGAACGAAGAGAGAAAACATACCTACCCTGTTTCAGAATTTGTATCTCAAAACTCACCCTGGAAACCACCCCCGAATAGATGGAAATTACGTAAAATTATGTGAAATAATCGTTTCTGAATTTTTTTTTCTCACAATATCATCAGAACGAAGAGAGAAAACATACCTACCCTGTTTCAGAATTTGTATCTCAAAACTCACCCTGGAAACCACCCCCTAATAGATGGAAATTACGTAAAATTATGTGCAATGATCGTTTCTGAAAATTTGATATTGATTATATTTCATTATTCAATCAAAGAAATGAAATACAATAGATTTCAATGTATTACTGGCTGAAGAACTTCGGTTGGTGGCCAATTGGGTAATCCATAAAGCACTTATACTATTATTATAAGAATAAGACATATATTCTGCTCTTTGTCTTTTCAATTTCTCTAGTAGCGCGTGATTGTCAGATACTATTTCAAAGGTTACATTCAATCAAATAAATCATAGCCGTAGATGGAAAATAAAAATAGGGTATAAACACCCACTTCAATTTATAGTGCTATAGCACTTTTCACAGAACAACAGCTATAAAAATGAGAAGAACAACATTTTAATATGACAAAATAGACACATATGGATATACTTCAATGATATACAGAGAGTCCAAGATAAGGATGTCTATAATGAGGTATAGTTGATGATGGTTTCTTCAAAACGTAACTTCGTACGGAAAATGTGTCAACGCTATTTTGTAGAGCTTCAAAAATGGAAATGAGGAAGTGTCTTCTGTTCTCCTTGATTTCCTCAGTTTTGTTCTCAAATTCTCAATTTCGTTATGTAGTTTTGCAATCAATTCCTCCTTCTCAATAATAGATTTTTTTTAAATAGTCTGTTTTGTAAATGGATGGAACAGCAGATTCTTTTTAACGGATCTTGAAATCTTCTGTTCAAAAATGGGCCTAAAATATAGTTTCATTCTAATCTGCTGCTATAAGAAATGAATTATAATGGATGTACCTCACAAATTTGGCTTGTCTTCAAATTAATTTTCTATCCAGGCCGTTTCATACATTCCTTCTATAATATGAGAATGGTTGATATTTCCTTTGGAAAATTAAATAAATGATATCCATTCTCTTCAGAATTCCTACAATTTGTTACACAGTAGAACATTTTCATGTATGCTTTCTTCTCAATAGTTTATGAAATTATATTTCAATTCTGACGTTCATCAAATTCAGACAATTTTGAATGAAAAACCGCGGAACGATTATGGTGTTCTTGTCACAATGCAAGGTGTGTAACTTAATAAATCTACTAAACATTCAAAAACACTAACAGTTGTCATTTCTATGTCTAAACTATTATCTAACTAATACCATCCAGTGAAGAAAAAGCAATGAAAATCCCAAAGTCTGTCGACCACAAAATAATTTAATAAGCGACGTGTGTTACTAGTTTCGGCCACAGGCCATCATCAGACACAAAATTGATGTAATATATGAGTACCTAAAATATAATAATAGACAATGTTATGGGGTAAAAAGAGTCATACAATCATATACTAACCTTATAACATATTGAGAAAAAATTAAAATTGAAAAGCTAAGTCAAAAAAATTCAGTTAACAGTCCAGCATATTCAAGTGGTTTTTTAAATCTGGAGAATGTCCAGTAAAACCAAATTAAAATTGGGTTATTGGCGAAGTACATCAGAAAAAATTATTATTCAAAAATTCTCTCACGTGAGATTCATCAAGAAATGCGAAAAGCAAATGGAAGCTAAGTTAGCTAAGATAGAATTCAAGGGACCAGAAACATCATAAATCACAAGGAAATACAAAGTCAAAGAATAAGTGACACATGTCAGAGTCAACCAGAACTGACATGAAACTAATAACTGAGGTGGTGACACAGAATATGACACCGACAAGTGACGTCAATATGATAAATTAATTAACAATAACCGAAACAAAATCAAAATTTGAAACAATGAGACCAAGAGATTGGGAGAAGAATAACAGTAGATCAATATGGGTTATGTTGATCATTGAAATTTCATAGTACGAAAAATGAGGTTACGTTCAAAGTTGGTTTGATCATTAAGGCATGTGAAATTGGGATTGTTTATACATTTTTGAATTTCTAGCATTTCCAATAGGTTCAACCTGGAGCCTTTATTACAAATGTGGAGGAATTCCATGTTGTCAGATATATTTAAATTATGGTTAGATTCAATTATATGGTTTGCGAAGGAGTAACTAGTGTTTAAATTATTGATGTTCCTATTCCTCCTAATCGCTCTATTATGTTCAGAGGCTCTAGTTTCAAAACTCCGCCCAGTTTGACCAACATAAGAGGAGTTGCAGTCATTGCAATTAAGTTTGTAAACTCCGGATTTTTTAGAAGTAGGGATTTTGTCTTTAGTGTACTAATAAGGTTTTAAGGTTGGAGTTAGTTTTAAAAGAAATATTGAAATTGAAACTTGAAAACAGTTTTTTCAATTGTATTGAGTACCTGTCAAAGTAATGTAAAGATTTAAACAATGGTGATTCTTTCTCTTGTGCTGTTATAACATTGAATGATAATCTGAATTTTGTGAAAAATTTAAAATGAATTTTCATAATTGGATCTAGAGGAAATTGATTATTGATGGCAATTTGTTTAATTATATTAATTTCACTATTAAAAGCTGAATCAGACAGTGGCAAAGAAAAGGCTCTATGAAAATTTTTTTTACCATCCAGTGACTCTAGAAAGAACTACATTGATTGTCCACAGTTGTGATGGACGGCCGCAACTACACCTACCAAACGGTCCACATGGACAACATAAACGCCATGCTGAACACGAGTGACGTCAGCGAGTACCTGAAAATCTCCCCAGACGGCTTGGAGGCCAGATGCGACGCTTACTCGTTCGAGAGCGTGAGGTGTACCGCGCAGGCGGACCAGGGAGTGTGGTACTACGAGGTGTGCATCATCACTCCGGGAGTTATGCAGATCGGTTGGGCCACCAAGAACAGTAATTTTCTCAATCATGTAAGTTTCAAGCTGGAGACATTGTATTTTTGTTGATATTTTTGTGATAGGTGACTGAGATTAAGCTCGTATCGCCAGAACGGCGAATGTCGGTACTACCAGGGCCTACTCTATCTCACCGGGCCGTAGTCTATCCCCTCTCTCTCGACGCTGACGTCACAGTAGTAGGTTGAGATTTCACATCAGTTCGTACTGGAGCGTTCGTAATTGATAAGCTATAGCTCATTTACTATAAATTTTAGAAGCACACTCAATCGGGACGTAATGATCCCCAACAAATTCCCCAACTTTTGGTGAAAAATTAATCCAATAGGATGAATCATTACCGAGTTATGGCGTTGTAAAGAAATTCCATTTTATTGGAAATCAGGGCGTTGTACTACAGAATAATATTTTTCGCGAATTTGGAATCGGAGTAAGATAAAACTAACTCAATATATCAAACTAGGATAATGCATCAATCGAATCGTGAAAAAATTGCAGAGTTACCTTCAATGAGTCCAAAAGAAATTGAATATAGAGAGCGCCTAAAAAATGGGCCATTATACCTACCTACCCTTTTGCTGTATTACGATTTCGCGGTAATTCCTTGGACTGGTAAAGGGCGATATACTTATTATTACTATAAATATATATATGTCAAAGCTATGTATTAGATAAAGATAAATTGACTGTCACTTTTAGTGAAGAATCTGAATACCTGAAATCATTGGGTGGTTTGAAATATCCCAATAAACAGTTTATTGAAATGGCAATGGAAATTCTCCAATTGTTTCGAATATTGGTGTCTAAAAATTCAAAACAAAATTTCTACAATGCAAGTCATGGAAGTTTTGGAAAATTTAGCAGAAATTTAAATCAATTCCCTTCTCAATTATTCCGAGAATCACTGTTGCAGTTGTGGGTCTTTTGATGGAATCATCAGAACCTTATAGATAGACAAAAAAAAACAATTTATATAAGTCAATTAAAATCATTAGTTTTCCTGTTGTAGCTGGAGTAATCCTTGATAGATGGTGATTTCTGGGTATTTGGGTTTTCTATGTTTACTGGGGTGGAAATGATTTGTGGTGTTATAATCGGGATATTGTAGGTAGATTTTGCGAATGACTTGCTGAGTCAGTGGAAACGTTGAAGGATGGGTTCTACTTTTGTTGAATTATAGAGTAAGGTGTTGGAAGGGTTGTCCGGATGGCGAATTTTCGTAATAATTCTTAGGCAACTTCTTTCTGCTACTTCTGAATTTCTCAATGCTGTTTTCCTGCAGGTGCTGACTAGAATGAATCCATATTCGATTAGGGGTCGGCATATAGTCTTGTAAATTGAGGTAGCTGTCCTGATGTTAATACCTTTATTTTTGAATGTCAATTCACGAAAATGTTTGGCTCTGGCAATGACTTTCTTCTCTGAAGGTGTTTCTTGAAGTTCAATTTGTTATCGATCAAACCCCCTAGGTAGCGGGTTTCTGATATAGGATTAATTGTATCATTGAGGATGTTGATGGTTGGTGAACTGTTCACTATTTTATGGTTATAAAAAATGTGGAACGCTTCACGATTTCGCGTGTCATCCTTACATGAGAACAGTTCTTCCCAATATTCAGCTCAAGTGGAGTTATAGAGAAAAAATTCAAGAAATGCAAGACTTTCGAAAACAAATCTAATTTTTGTTCCAACGGCCAATTAAGGAGAAATTACGCGAACGTCCCGATGTGGGATCCCAGGGTATCATAATATGGCTGACTTTTGATCAGAAAAAAATTTCTCGAGTTTTTGCAGCATTGGGAATGTAGACCATAGTGTAATGGTTCCACTTTACACCCTGTGTAAGTCTTGTTCTGCGGACTTTCTCAGAGTGTTCCAGCTCTCTTTGAAGCCGATGAAATATGACATCTGATATCGAAGCGAAAACCGCGTGAAGATCGGTCAATTTTTTCAAAAAATATAGGTCTTCGAAAAAGAGCCAAATTGAGTGGTCCATTTAGTGTGTTGAGAACTGTATTTGAATTCTTGTTCAATAATGATGGGAAGTTACAGCTTACGTATGTTGGTATACATATAAATTTCAAATAGAGTAGGTAAGTTATCTATTGTTGAATAGATGTAATATTGTCCTCAATCAATCAATCAAATCAATCAACTTTATTATTCCCAAGAAACAACATTTGTTTATAGCAGGGAACATAGTGAATACATAAATATATTTGACAAAATAAAATAAAGAAGACAGTAAAATAAGACTCACACTCAAAAAGAATCTTTTTTTTTCAAGTTCAAATGAAAATGATCCTCAATTGACTCAGCTGTTAGGTACACAATTGAAAACTATAGTAGTTGTACAAGAAAACCATAAAAATGAGATAAGATGTCAATATTACAGGAGTAGGTGTTTCTTGAATTCTCTTTTAAATTCAATCTATTAATCAGCTTCAAGTTATTTGGTAGTGAATTGTATTGTATCATTCCATTGTGATAGATGGATTTTTCACCAATATCTGATTCAATTTTCTTGACAGAAAAATGATCTGCTTGTCTGGTTGTATGGTTGTGGAAAACACGAAGGTCAAAAGTACACAAATAACAAAGCTAAACGTTCAAATATCGAAACGAAATGAACATAAACACCATAACCAAACAATATAAACAATTTGCTAATGGCCATAGAGTAGTACCGACATTCGCCGTTCTGGCGCTACGATCTTAATCTCAGTCGCCTATATTGGCTTTTTTCCCCACGGCCCGGCCGGAGCTGCCGCCCCTGACTAGAGTTCCTTAATGTACTTGACACTACAGTTTTGACGTGTTTTGTATATTAGAGTACGGACACTAGACAAGCAGTGACAATCAAACATAACCACAAACGATTTTGAAGCAAATCATATGTTTTGCCAGACAAGGACAAGAATATGTTTTTTGCTCAGATAAGGATTCTCGCATCTTCCTTCCTCCACAAGTCCTGGGAAGAGTACATCCATATATCTTTCTCTGTCTTCGATTTTTGTATGAGAGTGCATAGCGTCTCCTCGAGTGGGTAAAAGGGTATGATAAATTGATTAGAAAATTACTCGAAATATAAGGTTGAAGGACCTCAATGGAGGCGATATCAAGTTTGTATGTACATAAATACCAATGAAATACATATACTATTCCTATGAAATGAGTCTCTTATATGTAGGTATATATATATATATATATATATATATAGTAGAGAGAAGGGAAGTCGTTGCTGACAAGTTAGAGATGAAACTTAGTAGTGGGGAAGCAGCAAGTAAAAGTGAAACTCATGCAAGTTCGTCCAAGCTTTCGGAAAGTTATATTTCCATCATCAGGGCCAGACTACAAAATGTTATAACAATTATAAGCAAAGCTAGTTGACTAAGTGGTGCAGTACTTACAACTCATTGAGGTTGGTTACATAGATGTTACTAACAAGTGATGTATAAATAAAAAAATGTTTGTATAACATATCTGGAACATGACAAATTCAAAAAATTAAAATATTAGGTCAATATCAAAAACGTTGTTGATTTAAAATCATGATGAAACTTTTCTTTTCACAACGTGTGTCAGAATAAAAATCTTTGGTTAGGAAAACTGAACCTTATTCTTCCAATTCACTGGTGACATGGAGCTTAAGTGTGATGACCTTGGTCTTATGGTACCTAGTGCTATTGTGTGTTAGTCACAAGAGTATTGGAAGGAGAAAGTTTTATGAGCTACTAGTAAAACGGGTAATATTCTTGCAGGCAATATGTGCATCATATCAAGATTATTAAAAAAGTTGTTTATTGTTGGTTATGTTGAGTTGCTATTATTTAATACCGTATTAGGGTTATCAATTGATAAAAGATATGAATAAATTTCGCTAAGATGGTTAATGTCCGATCTTTTGTTGATACAATTTGGTTCTTGGGCAATGAAAGACATTTCCAAAAAAGTTCTTTTTTTTGTGGTTACTTTCTGTAGCTAAAATTCTTGCTGATTGAAAATCCATTTTGTGATCAGAGGAATTAACATGGTCCGCCAAAGCACATCTTTCTGGATGAAGCGACTGTAGGCTTGTTATACAAACATTTTTTTATTTATACATCACTTGTTAGTAACATCTATGTAACCAACCTCAATGAGTTGTAAGTACTGCACCATTTAGTCAACTAGCTTTGCTTATAATTGTTATAACATTTTGTAGTCTGGCCCTGATGATGGAAATATAACTTTCCGAAAGCTTGGACGAACTTGCATGAGTTTCACTTTTACTTGCTGCTTCCCCACTACTAAGTTTCATATATATATATATATATATATATATATATATATATATATATATATATACGTTCAGTTGAATATTTTTTCATCAGAAAAGTTCAGAATGGGGTGAAAAATGATAAATTTCAACCAATACAACATAATTTTATTTCGTATGGAACAATTTAACTTGTAAAAGAGTGGTAATAAGTAATTAATAAATGAACAAATGATATGGCAATACTAACAGCTGATTTCAGTTAGGATGAATAATAAAGGTTCTCGAAGACATATGGAAGTAGATATAAATGGACTTCAGCGCTCGACTCACTATAGATCGCCGTTCACATTGCTAAAGGGGATTGTTGGTTTGAACCCGGCCATCGGAAGATAATTCTCAAGTCTTTTTCTTTCAAAATATGTTCGAAATGAATTTCATTATCTGCAAGTTCTTTGTTTCTTGTTGGTTCTGAATTGGAATAAGGTTTTTTTCGATACTCGCTCATTTTATAAATTGCGGGTTCGGCTCTTTCTCTTAATACGATCCTATTCTTCAATATCAAATCTGTATCCTACCAAGAAATTTGAATACCTCGCAAATTTTGTGGCTTGAACCTATATGCCATGCCGGCCGAATTGATTCTCCGTGTTCTCACAGTTGGAAACTGCACAAACTTGCATCTTTCTCCTAACTCTCTCAATATGTCAAACCTTTGAAATTTATGTCATGTACGTCCGTGCACTGTCAGTTGCCGCTTTTTCCATCAATTTATTTGTGGTTATGCCGGATTGTCAGTGCTTGTCATAGTGTCCGTACTCTAATATACAAAAAACGTCAAAACTGCAGTGTCAAATGCATTTAGGAACTCTACCCCTGACGAGCCGTCACTGCTGTGTATAAAATATAAGAAGTTTTTTCTCAAATATCATCTGAAGTCTTACACAAGAAAATTTCTTCAGTAATTGTTCTCCCAAACTGCACAAACATGAATCATACTCGAATATAAAGGGATCCCCCTTATTCAACTAAAATAGCTCCTGTTAAAAAAGCATTTACCTACTGATTTTCCACAGGAAGGCTACGGTATCGGTGACGACAGATACTCTTTAGCTTACGACGGTTGCAGGAAGCTCATCTGGTACAACGCCAAATGCGATCCCCATAGTTTGCCCAGATGGGAATCCGGAGACATATTAGGTTGCCTCTTGGATCTCGATAATCAACAGATAGTTTTCTCTATCAACGGCAGAAGTTTGCCACCATGTATGCATGTGTTCACCATGGCGACGTAAGTGATGAATTGATTGTTGAGTAACATGAACAAAAACTTGCTGTCTCCTTTCCAGTTCTCTTCTAAAAAGAGGGAGCGTTTTGTGCTTCTAAATAGTTTATTTTCGTGTTTAAATCGGTCTACAGTGTGTCCAAGATAAGGATGTCTATCATAGGGATCTCGGAAATCATAAGAGCTAACCTAAATCGGAGAAAAGTTGCGCGTTTTCAAGTCTAACAATACTTTGTTTGAAAATTTTGAAAAGTAGTTTCCGAGATATGCCTAAAAACCGAAATTTGCCGATTTCGTATTTATTTTTTTCTGACGTTATTTAAAGAGATATAGGAAACCATCATCAACATTAGTTTTTTATTTGACCGATAGATAGATACTTTTATTGCTCTCTTTTGATTATTTACATAACATGAGACAGGTCCTTATGCTAGTTGTAAGTACAGATATGCAATAGAGGCAATAAAAATGGCGATATAATATTTAAAAAAAGTAAAAGAAATAATAGGTAAAAACACGTTTTGGACTAGGAGTAACAAGATATGTGTATATACACTGTGTCCATAAAGTCACCCCCCCCTGGTTAACTATTGAACGGATTTTTTTTTCAATTTTTTTTTGCTTCAATGGTAGTTTCAGTGCTACATATTGTTCAAAAAAAAATGTATCCTCCAAAATGGCGCCTGGGCGCCATTTTGGAAGATTTTTTCAAATGGAGTGGGGGGTCGAAAGATACCTCGATTGAAAGGTCTTTCGATTCTCTATACAACCTCAGAATCTCAGACGAAAATATTCATCCAAAACAAAATGACGGATGATAACGTTTGAAATCTCACACCAGAATTCTTTCGACTAGATGGCTATATTAAAGTGAAGACAGTGTTTCCAGCCTGCACATTCTAGAGTTCGAATTTCAAATATCGAGGATGCGAAAATTTGGAATGGAGGGAATTTCAGAATCGTGTCTTCATTTAATTTTCATTCATTCATGTGAAATGACCATTGTTCTTAATTTTGAATGAATTATTCAAAAATTTTATAGAATTTGGAAAGACAATCGAGCAACGGTATAATTGACTACCATGTTATTCTCTTCAAAATGGCTTCCTATTGATATCTTCATAGATAGAGAACTCTTCTATACGCCAATAGAGATTTGAAGATCACATGCGAGCTGCGAGCACTTTAATAGCCACCTAGTCGAAAGAATTCTGGTGTGAGATTTCAAACGTTATCATCCGCCATTTTGTTTTGGATGAATATTTTCGTCTGGAATTCTGAGGTTGTATAGAGAATCGAAAGACCTTTCAATCGAGGTATCTTTCGACCCCCTACTCCATTTAAAAAAATCTTCCAAAATGGCGCCCAGGCGTTCAATAGTTAACCAGGGGGGGTGACTTTATGGAGACAGTGTATAGAATAGAATTGAATAGAATAGAATACTTTATTTCCTTCAGACTTGGATTTCCAAGTATTGAAAATTGTCAATACTTATCTATGATTACACTTATTTAAAAATGATCTAAAACAAAATATAGACATAATTTAAAATAAATGCTTGTCAACATAATATATGCTATGCTAAAATAACAAAGAGTGAAATAACAATACAATAATAATAATACATTCAAAATACATGTAAGAATACGAACAAGGACACAATAATCAACCATATTTAACACAATTCTTATTATTCATTTACAATGGACCGTTATGAGTCAGAGAAAAAATCCTCCAAAGAATAGAAACATCTCAATGGTGATTCGTCACTATTGAAATTGAACTCCGCCTTTAATTTTCTTCCGAAGTTAAATATGTTATATATATATATATTATTTTTATTCTAATGACTGTACCGTTGAAGAGGAAGAAAATAATAAAGACGATATTATTATTATTATTATTATTATCTAGCACCTAAAAATTTTTTAACATTTTTTCTAAAAATATAGAGGCTGGGTGAAGTTTTCAGAGAATCAGGTAGATGATTGTATAACCTTATCGAGGTATGAATTGGCCCCTTCTTTATCTGAGCAATTGAGAAAGATGGTACATACAGTTTATGAGCATTCCTCGTTACATAACTATTTACACATGTTTTGTATTTGTCTAGATTTTTGAAAATGTAACATGCTCCTTCTAGAATGTAAAGATTGTATACAGTTGGAATTCCATATTTAATGAAAAATGGTCTACAGGAATCCGTTTGTCTTATACCAAAAATACTCCTAATTATACGTTTTTGGCTAAGAAATACTCTATTTGCTCCTTCACTATTTCCCCAACAAAGTAACCCATATCTTAGGGCAGAATTAACACAAGCATAATAATAGGACAACAAAGCTTCTGTATTGGTGACCTTCTTAAGTTGAAAAATGGCAAAATTCATTGTGGATAATTTGTTTTATTAATTGTTGAGTATGAGCATCCCAGGAAAGGTTTTGGTCGACAAGTAAGCCTAGAAATTTGACAGTTTCACTCTGTTTGATGGATACATTTGATATACCTGATCTTACAAGAAGGTTTAGGTCAGACTTGGAGCTGATTGGTGAAAACAACAGTGATACAGTTTTTACAACGTTCAAGATGATACCATTTTGATGACACCAGTTCTCCATTTCAGCGATACAATTTGTTGATTTAGAAGCTAACTGTACAAGATTGTTAGAATTCACCACTGCGGAAGTGTCGTCAGCATAAAGTGTGAGAAATCCATTTTGGAAGTTGAAAGTCAGATCATTTAATAAAATTAAGAAAAACGTTGGTCGCAATGTACTGCCCTATGGGACGCCGCTGGACAGTTGCAAGGTATCAGATAAAATATCTGAGCCTTCTTGTCTAATGCGGACCTGCTGGGATCTGTTTTCCAAATAAGTTTTTATCCATCTATAAGAGGGGGGGCCCCTTACTCCATATTTTTCCATTTTGTTCAGAAGTAGTTCATGGTTAACAACATCAAATGCTTTTTGAAAGTCAAAAAACAACCCAGAGGTCTTACATTTGTTATTGAAATTTTCAAGAATATTTTCATAGAATGACAAGATGGCATCCTGAGTTGAATAATTTTTAGTGAACCCATATTGGCGTTTCGTTAAAAGCTCAAATTTAGATAGATATTTCAAGAGTCTGATTTGAAAACATTTCTCAAGTATTTTAGAAAATACGGACAGTAATGCTATTGGTCTATAATTACTCATATCGCTGGGGCTGTTTTTCTTAAAAACTGGAACAATCACAGCATTTCTCAGTTGGGATGGAAATTGTCCCAATTTGAAGGAAATATTCATCACAAATGTGAGAACTTCCACAATATTTTGGGAGACCTCTTTAATCAAATTGCAAGGTACTTCGTCTACACCACTAGATTTTTTCTTACAAACATCTTGAATAATGTCGAACACCTCATGGGAGGTAACTGGTGTATGTACAAGCGGAGGGAGACAACACATCCTGGAGCTAAAATACATGTGAATTATGCAGTATAAGGAAGATGGCAGTATTAATTATTTAATTTGACATTCGTCAAGGCACTAAAATGCATGGTGTAATAGGTATTTCTTTAGGTGCGCTTTGAAAATGTTGGTACCTTGCAAAAACGTTACTGGGCGATCAATTTCGGTAAATTTTTTGCTGGTCGGGTTTTTTGCCGGTAAGTGTTCATGACTCTGTTTTTCAAATACAATCTCGTAAAGAAATTCCGCTATGCGTTGAACTATTGTTTTTTAGATGCACATAGTCGATATAAAATATTAGGAATGGTAGATTAAATGCATTATGAGCTGATGAGATAACTTCGTCGTTTCAACAAAAATTGTGGATTGAGTGTATTCAATGAGCCTTTCGAATCATTCCTAGTAACAATATATATACAGGGTGTTTCACAGGTGAAGGGAAATATCTCAATGGTGCATAGGGGTCACCAAGGTGGTTCTGAAAATACGATATTTGATAGGTCTTAGAATCTTCATAACGGAGATACAGGGCGATTTATCGATTTTGAATGATTATTCATTCGTTTATAAGTATCGAATTACCCAGTATATTTTCCTTCAATTTGGTATGGAGCTTATACTTGGGACGTTGTATTCATTCACCTATCGGGCGGAGTAAAAGTCCAGGTTCGGCTTCAGGAAAAATTTACATTCATTCGAAATATTAAAATAACACACTGTATGTAATAATTAACAGAATTCATAAAAGTAATCGTGAAAAGGAGGAAAAACTGAATTGGATTCGATGCTTTTTATTTTCCCGCCACCAATTCTCATCGTAACAATCATAAACAGAAAGTTGAAAGTATGTCAATTTGAAGAATATTAAAATTATGAAACCAGTCCTAATTATGATTATTTGATATATTTTAATTAAATGATCGCTCGAAATAACTTACTACTAAATATCACAGTCTTTATAACGGAGAAACAGGGTGAATTATCAGTTTCGAATAATTATTCACAGGTCCATAAGTATTGAACTACCCAGTAATATTTTCTCAAAATGTGGTATGGACCTTACTTGGGAAGTTGGCTTCATTGACCTATCAGGCGGAATGGAAATACAGGTGGCGTTCGGCGTTCGCGTTTCATTTCGCGGACGTTGAACGCCTCGTGGGGTATAAATGCTGAGATCCGTTTTCGTTGGGTCAGGTTCGCACCAGATAGCGGTCAAGAAGCTATCTGGGACAGCCCTGTACTGAACCACTTAGGCGCACCTCGGCGTTCAGGAAGGAAACACTTGCGATTTTATCCGTCTATACGAATTATTGCATAGATTTCGGGAGGATATAATCCAATGTTCTGCGTGGCATATAGCCAGTAAAGTAGTTGTTTTTCTCTCGTTATCTATCATTTCCGTTTATTTTATGAACTATTGTGGTAATGACTTTGAGTTTCTCTTTCTCCCTATTTGTAACCATTGCATTCCACTTTGAGTATTTGGCTTTTTCCTAATTAAATAATTCATTTGTTCAATTTTCTCGATATATATGTGGTCATGATAACGTTTTTCCTTTTATAACGTCATAGCGAAATAAGGTCAAATTTTACAATACTGAAAAGGCCCATTGAATACAGTGTGAGCGAAGGATTGAAAAAGACAAAAGCTGGCCGAACACCTCCATCAACCGCGATTTCCAGGTCTGGATTCTTCGCCGCCGCCAGCTTCATGTCCTTCCAGCAGTGCCGGTTCAATTTCGGTGCGGAACCGTTCCGCCACCCGCCTTCCGTGGCTTTTTCGACGTTCAACGCGTGCGGTTCGCTGCGCCCCGAGGAGAAGGTCGTGCTGCCGCGGCACATCTACCTGAACCAGCTGAGAGAGCAAAACGTCGGAGAGGACAGCTGCACGCTATGCTACGACCAGAAGGCCTCCATTCGGTTGATGCCCTGCGAGCACTCGTGAGTATTATAGTCTAAATGTACACACACAAAGAGAACAGGTTATCCAGCGCCTATTTTCGGCGCAGAATACCATTGCCGGTTTTATCGCTAGTACGTACATAAAGAATGCTGGGTTTTCAGTCAGATGTCAGAAAAGAAGCAGATTTTGTTGAGGCAAGATGTCGAGTGCATCCTCTGATGAAGAATTTCTGCTATTGGAAAATGCTTCTGTGAAGCAGAGACCAAGACAAGGAATACATCCACTAAATCAAGAGCGCTTGGTTTATGGAGAATATCATCACCTATTTATAACTTTAAAAGAACATTAGATTAGATTAGAATTGGAATGGGGCCTTCGGCCTATCTGCCTCCACACTGCGACCTTTTCAGATCTATGGGGTCTGCCCTCAAAATGGATTAGAGTTCTTCGGCTAGCCCCGCCTTCTCTATGAGACTCCATAGGCTAGCTTTCAGATCTCCTGTGTATCTCTGGGCTCCTGGTTTTTCCTCACCCAGCGTAAGGAACCTTAGTCTTGACAAGCCCTCACAGTGGCAAAGTATGTGTACTGCTGTTTCTTCATCTTCTTGACAGAACCTGCACAGCAGTTCTTCAGTCAGACCTATCGTACTCATGTGTTTGTTGAGCCTACAATGCCCTGTGAGAAGTCCCACTAGTATTCTAGTTGAACTTCGTTTCTGGCTTAGTAGATATTCTGTGAATGTTGGCGATGGTTTTTTAATAAACTCTTTTGACTGTCTCATTCCTGGCGAGTTGTTCCACCATTCTTGAGATTTAGTTTGCATCCATGATTTGATACTAGTCTTTTGTATAGCTTTCGCAATACCACAGAAGGGTTCTGGGCCATTAAGAGCTTTGTTTGCTCCTGCTCGGGCAAGTGAGTCTGCCTCTTCATTGCCCTCGTACCCTGTATGTGCTGGTACCCATGCTAGAGTCAATCTGTTCTGACTGCCCAGTGCATTTAGGGTTTCTAAGCAGTCCCATACTAGTTTTGAGTTAACTTGCATAGAGTTGACTGCTTTGATTGCCGCCTGGCTATCTGAATAGATTGCAATGGTTTTGCCTTATCAATTCTTTCACGCAATGATGTATTGCAATAATTTCTGCCTGAAACACCGTCGCGTATTTGCCTAAGCTCAGTGAGATTTTTGTCTGGCTTGGCCCCATAAATACCAGCTCCTGATCCTTCCTCAGTTTTGGAGCCGTCCGTATAGACAGCAATGTCTGCATTGTTAAAAGAACATGCAGAACGGTTTTTTCAGTACATGAGAATGACATTAAATACATTTTGTTATATTTTTAAAAAAAAATTGAACAACGTCCATTCCGGCTGCTATTTCATTCCACAATTTTTGTGTAACGTTTCCATTGCTGTGAGATTTAAGCCGTTTGTCCCACAGCGCAGGCCTCGTAAACATAGCAGAGATTAGACTTTCCACATCCATTTTCCAATTAAATATTAATAATATTACATATATGTATTGACATGCACGTCCGCTTCCGACAACAAGCGACCAAGAATTGGAAATTCATTCCGGTAAAATAGTCAGCGCCGATTTACGCTTGTAACAAGTTCCGACACGCTTTGTCTATGACCACGATCATTTAAAAGCTAAATAGATTATTGGCGCTTATAGGCGCCGACTGCCAGTAAGCAGGAAACCTGCTTTCTTTGTGTGTGTACCCTAAGAGCTGGCGGCAAAAATCGGTAAGAGTTTAGTAATGGCTCATAATTCAATATGGTTTAGTATTGAGGGTGTACATGAGTCAGCACCCTCCCGCAAGGTCAGGTAGTGGAACAACTGGTGACGGCGCGCTATGATGTATGTAAAATTACGACATGCTCTACAAGTGTTTAGTTATAATTAAAAATTGGTAGGAAACTAGTTCGTAGTATTGACAACATAAATATGGACTTGGCAACAATTCTTGAATGGGGATCCAATAACTTGGTAGATTTCAATGCAAACAAAACACAAGCATGCCTTTTCTCTAGAAAAGCCGATCTCACTGTGCCAAACATAAGCATGTCAGGAGTAACAATACCTTTGAAGACATCCATTTTGATGCTTGGTATTACTAACAGCAATAACCTTTCTTGGGAAAATCACATATGTATATCTTAATCATACTCTACATTATTTTATAATCATAAGTTTTCTGACATTGAAACTAACATAGAACATTTTAATTTTCATTATAATATTTAAACAAAAATACTAAATTTCCTGCCTTTTCAACCCCCAGTCTATTTCTCAAATCTGAATATACCAGCCCAAAGGTACTGAACACTCGTTCCACTGAGGCTGAAGAAGCAATAGCACAAAGAAATTGTTTTAACACAGGTATCTGTTTCTTGATTTCTGATTCATTGTCAGCTTGTGATAGCCACCACTGAATTCCACTGACGTTTTTCGTAATTTCTTCAGAGAACATGATGTTTTTGAAGGGCAAAGAACGAGCATTAAATTTTATTAGTAATGGTAATAATCCACTATTACCATACATTTCTTTTATAGTTTTTAAAGCCAAATTTTTTTCATTGACAACCTGTACTTTTGCTTAGATGGGTCCATCATATATGCTATCAAGTGGTAAGGGGTCAGTGCTTGTTCATATCGGCGCTGAAATTTTTGAAGCTGTTGAATTGGTAGATTTTGATCTTCTTCAAAGATATATTTTAAGTTTTTCCATTGTTCCACGACATTTGAAAGAGTATGTTGACATGAATGTTGAGAGGTACCTATATTTATCGCGCATTAAGACCAAAATAAAAAAAAAATAAAAAAATAAATAAAAAATAAAAAAAATGCAAAAAATCATGATTTTTTTATTTAAATCAATGATTTTTGATTTTTTTTTTAAATCAAGATTTGCCCAACCCTGTTTGGGCCAGGAGCTATTTCACTTCCAGTCAACTGCTTATATAAGGCACAGATCCGACCTGTCCTGGAAAACTGTTCCCATATTTGGAGTGCGGCACCCAAACATACCCTGAAACTGTTGGATTCTGTACAAAAAAGGGCAATTTGTCTCGTGGGTGATAACTCACTCACTTCTCTGGGACACCGTAGAAAAGTTGGCGATCTGGCTCTATTTTATAGAAATTTTCATGGACGATGCTCTTCTAAAATATCAACAATTGTATCTACCTTGGCAGTCCCCGCGAGATTAACCCGTCGAGTTGAGGCTTCGCACCCCTTCATGGTCACTTTGGAGACCTGCAGAACATCTCTATCCAAAGACTCGTTCATCCAACGAACAGCGAGGCTCTGGAACACATTGCCAAGGGAGGTGTTCCCCGAGACATATAACCTCCAGAAATTTAAGAAGAACACCAATTCCTACCTTATTTCCCTTGGTTCTCACGATGTTCTCTGAACATTACAGGATATCCCTTTTCGTGGGAACCCGAACATGAAAAAAAAATTGAAAAACGGGGGAAAGTGCTCAGATTCGATGGTTGTGGAACGCGGCAAGTCAGCACCCCACATAAGTTGTCGCCGGAACGATGTCGGTGCAAGGGTTTAGTTATGACCGAAAATTTCTGTTATTATAAATAATGTAATAAAAAAATAGTCGGACCACAAATTGATGGAGCAGAGGTAGTCAGCACTTGCTCAAAGTAAGGATATATGTTGAGTACGGGCGCGGTTGTTCGCAGGGTGTATCACTCTATATGAGAATTTATTTTATGAAAAAGTAGGTAATGTTTTCAGCCAGGGTGATGACGTCATCAGTCGGTGTGTATCTCAGAGTTTTCGTCATTTCTGAACTCTTTGGTGTGTGAATTCCAATGCGAACTCCTAACCTAAACTGCCAAATAAAAATGATTATGAAAAAAAAAGGTATACTCAACTACTCAAGACTCTTGTATCCAACTCCGAGATGTATTTTATAGCTGAAAAAAAACTAAAATATATAACATTCATTACATTTTCATAACAATAGGTGTAATTCATGTTATTCATTCTTGAAACCTCATCATTCTGAATAAAAAGCAAGTCGTTTTTACTTTTACCAAAAACTTTTAGGAACCAATGAAAAAAACCTCTTCTGAAATCACAGAAAACAACATAACACGATAAATGTTGTGCTTTGAAGACAGTTTGGTCTATGCGATTTTTACCCCAGTCCAGAGCGGAATGATGTGGGTGCACACCGCGTTGTTCGTGCAACTGCCGTCGCGTTAGGAAAAGTACTACTTTTCGCCTTTGTTAGGTAAAAAATTTAATATACACCTTGGTAGTAAAGAATTTTATTACCACGGGACCTTATAACATAACCCTCTGCTGAAGCCTGGGGATATAATCTTGGTTCCTGGGTAACAATGATGTTCTTTACAACCTTGGTGCATAAATACCTTTTATGCACTAGCGGGCCGTAAAGTGCACTTTACCGCCCGGTTATGCGGGCGTTAAGTCGCACTTTACCGCCCGCGGGCTCATTATGGCCCACGGGCCGTAAAGTACACTTTACCGCCCGCTGTTCTCAGTCACCTTATATCCGCATATCAATTCATGAAAAACCTATGATCATATTCCTAGTTTCTAATATATCCAGCGGTATATCATAAACTTCTTCTTTATCCGATTCCATAGTCTCGCTATTATTATTATCACTAATTTTACTTTTCAGTCGAAGAATGACAATTCAGCCCGTTTATTGGATGTATTGCTATAGACAACAACCATCAGATTGATTGACAACGTCAAAATAAGTTAGGTTTATATACTGGGTATGCATATTGTGAAATTCTGAAGAATGAATCTCTTCTAGAGCTGAAAGAGTTTTACTATTACGATAATTGCAATATTCGTACGATAATTTTCATATGTGAATCATCCATGAATATTACGCTTCTCATGATTACTGAATTTATATGTAACAAATTAAATTCTGGGGAATATTAGTTAATCGAAATCTATAGTCATTACTCATGAGTCAGAAAATAAACCACTAGTGCATAAAATTTTGTATGTATCTCGTGCGTGAAATGCGTTTATGGCCTTCAGTGTGTAATGGCCCTCGGCTAGCGCCATCGGGCCATTATTCACGCCACAGGCCATAAACGCCTACTTTACGCCCTTGATAGCGGGCCGTAAAGTGCACTTTACCGCCCGGTTATGCGGGCGTTAAGTCGCACTTTACCGCCCGCGGGCTCATTATGGCCCACGGGCCGCAAAGTACACTTTACCGCCCGCTGTTCTCAGTCACCTTATATCCACATATCAATTTATGAAAAACCTATGATCATATTCCTAGATTCTGATATATCCAGCGGTATATCATAAACTTCTTCTTCATCCGATTCCATAGTCTCGCTATTATTATTATCACTAATTTCACTTTTCAATCAAAGAATGACAATTCAGCTCGTTTATTGGATGTATTGATATAGACAACAACCATCAGATTGATTGAAAACGTCAAAATAAGTTAGGTTTCTATACTGGGTATGCATATTGTAAAATTCTGAAGAATTAATCTCTTCTAGAGCTGAAAGAGTGTTACTATTACGACAATTGCAATATTCGTACGATAATTTTCATATGTAAATCATCCTTCTCTTGATTACTGAATTTATACCTAACAAATTAAATTCTGGGGAATATTAGTTTATCGAAATCTATAGTCATTACTTATGAGTGAGAAAATAAACCACTAGTGCATAAAATTTTGTATGTATCTCGTGCTTGAAATGCCTTTATGGCCCTCAGCGTGTAATGGCCCTCGGCTAGCGCCATCGGGCCATTATTCACGCCACAGGCCATAAAAGCCTACTTTACGCCCTTGATACATAAATAACTATTATGAATCGTAGCCATTTATAGAGTTTCACTAATTTTCTTGAATATTTTGTTTTCTCCGGATTTTGTCGACTTCAAATTCTAGTGTAAAAAATGCAATAACTATTTGCAAATAAAGGTGGTTCACCAAATGTTAGGTACCAGAAATATTCGGTAAACTGAAATTGTTCAGTAATTGCTGAATATACTGATTTTTTTTTCTGTTTAATCGCCAATTGAAGTGGCATTTTTGAGAAATTAACGAATATTTGTTGAGGCCTGATTTCCAGGTAATGGCAAAACACCAAATATTTTTTGATTCATAGGAATCTCCAGTATATTATTTGTTAGAACGGTAGTTTCTGGATGTTTCTGGCAAATATGAGACAATAATACAATACTGATCTACCTGGGAATCGAATTGCTGTAAAATGGAATTAAATGAAAAATGGAGAAATGAGGATCACTTTGAACCGAAAATATTTGAAATTCACACAATATATATAAATTACACACCAGTGGTCATAGAAAATGAATCATAGGTCCAGTAATTCATTTGAAAATTACAGTAATTTCTCTGAAATTATGGAGTAATCACAATTTCAGCAAATTTTCTCAATAGTATACCTTTTGTTTCAGAGGATTTTGTGCTGTGTGCGCCAATCAGTTGGTAGAATGTCCGATGTGCAGATCTCCATTTCAAAAAATCGAGGAATTCAGCATTTCTTCATGACATACAAGGTGTTTTTAAGTTTGTAACCAAAAAAAAATCGCTATCTATTATTATATCTGTTATGAAATAACACATTTTTGTACACATTTTTTGCATTATTTGCAAGAGACGGGTTTGTATTTTGATAGTTTATTTATTTCTAATTTTTTCTACATGTCGAGATATTGCATAGTATGAATATTATTATCCATTATTTTGTGTATATCAACAAATGAATAATATATGTATATAATGAATAATTATTATGGTTTGAGGCTTGTATCCTAACAGGATGTAAAATGTAAGAATGTATATTGATTTGCAGATGTATATTTTTTGCATAGAAATGATAAGAAAGTTATTTTTCTTTCATAAGTTATGATCTGAAATATATTTTAATGTTATGACAATAGTGAGTTTTCTTTGGGATGGTAGTTCATGATTGAATGTTGCCTTGTTTAATTCAAGTGTCTGATACAAACATGATATTCGTGTGGAAAGTTATAAGGAAACGTCATCAGATTCTATCAAAAATTTCGTCAGTTGCTTTGGCTTCAGTTATATGTTTGGTAATTTGAATGTTTGAAAGATCAATGAAAACATTAGGATAGTTAATGGATAATAATGACGATATATTCAATCACCTTGTATAGACATTTCATATGTAATATCAGGATGATTCTGTACATTGTACAGCAAAACCACTCGTGGTGTTGCTTGCCCAGATAGCACAAGTACATCTTATGGATATACTATGGATATGCATCATGGATATTGTGGATGTCCATAAGATATCCGAAAAAGGCTCTGGTATATCCTATGGACGTCCATATAGGATGTGACAGTGTGACCTTTTTGGATGTCTTGAAGATATGCATTATGGATATCCATAAGATATCAACTATGGATATGGATAAGAGATAGTATACCCTATAAATTGGAAAAATCAAAAAAATTGGGAAGCACTCACGTCTCACACTGCGTTCGAATAATGTAGTTGTCAGTTCTTATAATGATGCATCATTAATTTTGGACGAATTCGTCACAATGTGTGCTATCTTTTGGAAGACCATGCACAACTCTTACTTTTGTGGATCTCGTTTTATTTATTTATCATTTCATTCATTTTATGTAGGTACTTTTGTCTCTGTATCTTATGGATTTCCTATGGACGTATTCAGGACGTTTGTTTCGGATATCTCAAGTATACATCCGAAATCGGATATCTTTTGGATATACATTTCATGTCCACGGATATCCCGCCTTGAATAGGAGTTGAAATGGATATCCATAAGATATCCTGTGTTAACTGGGTGGCTACACATTTGAGTGAAAATGGGAGACAGAATTATGAGGAGATATTCAGAACAGAGAGGTATTTTGCTAGACTCAGGAATCATTATAATCATTTATTATAAATGAACAAGCCATATAACCAAAGCGACTCATTCTGACATCTACATCAGCTAAAATTATTTTATGTCAAACTGACAGACTTTCAATTTTTATCCATATCCCATGGTGACATCGTTGAGACATTGTCGGCTAATTGTCGGCTAAATGTGAGAAAAAATCAAGTTGCCGTTGAGAACACCAACGCTGTAATCAGAATTGAAAAACAGCTAGTGTTTTCTCGATAACAACAACTTGTCTTTGGCTTTTGCCATTGGTCAGGTTATCTAGAATCTCATGATGAGTGAAATAGTCGACGTTGTCAATACCTAAGATGCCTTACACCCATGGTGGAATTACTACACCTAGCTATCAATATCAAATAGGTATTTATGAAATTATGAAAATAATTTAGAGGCTTTATTTTTGGTTCTCTGATTTTGTGGGTACTTTGTTTATTTAGTTCATGAACAACTAAATTTATTGAAACACCATATTAATAAATTCAATCATCTTGAGAGCAAACAGAAATGGATGTTATTTCAAGAGTTTGGGGGTAGCGTAATGAATCAAATTTATCCTGTGATGTCAACCGCATGGTCACAGAATTGATGAAATAAACATTGTCACAGTTTTGGCTATGCATCTTGGGTTGGATTTGAATTGCGCGCGCATCGATATAGGTTTTTTTGAGCCAATACGTTGGTGTTGGTGCGAGACAAGATGACAGTGACAGGATTGACAGGAATCAAGTTGACTTGACTTTTTTTGGCATTTTTTGACATTGGAATTTTTCACGCCAATGCAATTGAAAGTGCCAGAAAAAGATAATGAAACTAGTTTAAGCTCAATAAGTAGTATTTTACATTTCAATGTGCCCCACGATACAGTGTTATCTCAACGTATTCCATTGATGAAAATATTCCAATCACGTGCCTTCAGATTAATGTTATGTTTTGATGCTGGTTCAAGATGGCGAGTGAGTACCTACACGAATTTCTTTGATAATGTGTGACATTAAAATTATTGTTTTAGATGTTTCACTAACACAAGTTGACTGCATGGACGATCCTGATGAAGGTATGAACTGTTATTTTCATGTTATTGCCCTGACATAGGTCTTATCTCGAACGGTTTCACTGTTTTCAGTGATAAGTGATAGAGGGAGAGTGGAGACTCAAATAGATGTATTTTTTCTCAAAGTTGGATGAATTATAGTGCGTAGTGAAGTATAGATGAAAGTTCATACTATATCCAATCCAGATTTTGATTATTATCAACTTCAAATGCAGTGAATGTTCCTCTAGATAAAAAATGACTTTTGACATTTGTATTGTACAATGTACACTTTGTTTATGGCATCTGTTTTATGTATCTACCTACGTCTTTTCAAGATAAATCTCTGCCACAATGACTTATTTTTATAATTCCAAGGTTGATTCAAAATTCAGTACTTTTTGTATGAGCTGTTATTGGAAAATTCATTGTTGTTATTCCTGCCAACTTTGTCTACAATCTTCAATTATTATTATTGAAATTCACTATGAATTATTGTGTTTCTTTATCGTCTGGTATCTGATGTCTGGTAGGTTACCTACTTCATTCACAATATTTCACTATAACCAATGAAAAGATGAAAGGGTGATGACCTCTGTTTCCGGTGATAGTATATTTTGTGTGCTTTTGCTACTCATTCATGATTCATGAATCATTTTTTACTTTATTTTATGACGATTTTCAGCATGATGAGTAACATTACATGATGATATGTAGGGTTGCCATCTCTAATATATGAAAACCAGGACAAGTCTACTGGAAAATCCAGACAGTGGGAATTTTGGAAACTAGATACATTTTTTGTAATTCCAAGAATAATTATTGATTCATGTATGATGTTTATGAAGATACCTACATATTATTCTGTTGCACAAACAGAATGAAAACCCAAACACATTTTTAAAACATAAAATAAATACTCAATCAATAGTTTGAAACAAAACTTATATAAATAATACCAAATCCATAAATATTCAATTTTTGAGCAAACTTACACTGACATGCTAGTAGTTTATATCAGTGGTGGACCTGACGAAAATTCGGACAATTCTTCAAAACCCACCTGGACACCCCTAAAACCCGGACATGTCTGGGAAAATCCGGATGGATGGCAACCCTATGATATGGAATGCCTCTTAGTATTTATTAAATACATTTAATTTCTTGTAAATAACTCATGACCTGTTTATGACTCCAATTTTGGAGATTTATATGGTTAAATAACCTCAAATTAAAAGCCCGCATAGTTCGAAAGTTTGAAATGAGTTGGAGTTGGAACTTTATTTGAATTTGAACTATTTGAAGTACTAAATTGTGTAATGAAATCTCGAATGAAATATTTGGTCATAAGAAATGTATGATCCCCTATATGGAGGTGTTAACCGACCCCTTTGATTTATTTCAAGTGTATTTCAATAATCTCAGAAATCTTGACAAACTATTTTTTGTATGTTGCAAAGTAAGTCATTATCGGACAGGACAAAATTCTTACAGTCGACTCCACCAAAGCTATACTTTATTGTAAGCAATCTTACAGGGACATGTTTCGAAGCTTTAAGATTAAGTAATTATCTGTAAAAAGGAAATGTATTCTGTTAATGCTAAAATTTCGTTATGAAGAACTGGGGAATGTGGAAAAATCAGAAATGGTTTACTGGTTACTGAGTGTTTCAGTTATAATCTGCCAAACATAAATACTCATAGACGTATGACAAACTCGAAAATCTTAGTCAACACATACTTTTTCGTCATTCTCAAGATTATCTAACAACTCTCTACCAAAACTCGCTTGTCTAAAACGGTAAGGCTTTGGAATTCTTTGCCTTCTACGAGCATGATAGGAATTCCAGTGTGTTGATCCAGTAGATGAACAAAAGGACAATAGATTTATTTGAAAAAAGTAACCTATTCTAATTCATGATACATATATTCTAATTGAGTGAACAGTATAAAATCAATTTGATCAACAAAATGTATAGCTAATCGCCCGAGTATTCGCCATAATAATATTGATGTCACTGTTTTTTTTTCTTTTTTCTTTTTTGTTATCGCTTGGAGCGCACGAAAGGAAATCCCTATAATGTTCAAAGAACATCGTGCGTTCCTAGGGAGGATAGTGACAGGAGGTAGGTATTGGAATTTTCTTTGAACTTCGGGAGATCATATGTTGTTGGGAATACTTCCTCAGGCAATGAATTCCAGAGCCTAGCCGTTCTATGGAAGAAGGAGTTTTGATAAAGTGCTGTTCGACATCTTTCGAGGTTGACTACGAAAGGATGTGCTGACTGGGCTTGTCTAGTTCGTCTGACTGGTATCGCCAAACTCCGTGTCCGGTCGTAAGTTGTTTTCAAATTGGAAATTCAAGATGGCGGATCAATATGGCGGACGAGTTTTGTAACCGATTTTGTTCAAAATTGGTATCTGGAAAGTAGTTGTTTTCTGTTGAATTCTCCATGTATTTCTTTATACAGGGTGTCCCATAAGTATTGGATCAAAAGAAGTGGGGTGGAAGGGGGGGGGGGGTCATTAGTGATTCACACGAGACCAAGGAGACGAGGCTTTCATAAAGTCTCGTCTCGTCTCGCCGATGAAATAATATGA